CAGAGTTCTCCTGTGCAGCTTACACACCCACAATACCTCTCTGCAGAAATAGCTTCTGGTACTTCCAGCCTCACTATAGCTTTCCAACTTTTTTCTCTTCCCACAGAGTGTCTCTATGTGTACAGTGTCTCTATGGATCTAGAGGAAAGAAGTAACTTTCCAGGCTGTAGGACTTGATAAATTTTCCTCACTCATCTTTCTCTCTAACGAAAGGGCCATTAGAAGCCATCAAAACCATCTAGGAAGCTATTGATGAAATTCATAGAGTTTTCTGATTAGCAACCTTCTCAAATACATCCTTTTGCTACTCTGTCAATCTCTTTCTCACTTTTGTTGATATTATTCACCTTTGCCCTCAAGAGATCAATCACCTCCTCAAGTATTTTTCAATCACCTAGCATATGTTTTATGAAGAAAACTCCAGAACCACAGAGATCTTCTTTGATGTCATCCTCTGAAGTGACTTCATCTAGAAGCAGTATAACATGTAATGACAATGTCTTGTTTTGGCTTAAAGAAGTGAGTGTGAAAATTACTGTGTTCTTCTTCTTTCAGTCTTTAAAAGTGCTGGATAATCTCTTAAGATTGCCCTTATCTTTCCCTCTTCCAGAGTCAGTCTTCTGCCTTGGATGCATTCCTGTAGCCCCAGACCTTGCTAGCTATACCAGAGAAAGACATGTAACATTGACAAGAAATGTTAAAATTTGCTTTTTTTTTGGCAAGGTTATTGCTAATGCACAGTTTATGTATTTAAAACATAATGCATACCGTAGCCTAAAGAAAAGAAAAGTGAAAGAACATCTCACAGACCCTGAACAGGATGTAATTACATTGGTTTGTTTTGCAAAGGGCAAGGACTTAATTACACAGACCTTGAAACTGTCCCACTCTGCTGCCTTACGCACCCTCAGTGTCCTGGCGAGGCTGGACTCTGGTAGCAGTGTAGGACCCCTGGCCAAAACCTAGGAGAGCAGGTCCATGCACGGGAAGCTTCTGAGCTGCAAAACTGCAGCTTCAGCCTGTGCCACCGATCAGCGGGGCTTAACTCAGCGCCTTCGGCACCTCCTTCCTGGCTGTGCCGCAAACCCTCAGACCTGGCTGCACAAACCCAGCCTCAGAAATATCGTATTGCTGATGAAGATGAGTGTGTGACCTACTTCTGGCTTTTATATAACAGTCATCCGTCTCCAGCACGGTAATGCTGATTCACTGGCAGGGCCCCTCTTGTCCCAGTCATCTTGCACACAGGTCACCCGTGCTTTACAGTGCTGAGTGTTAGGGACCTCCCGGCAGCTTAATTCTTCATTTTATGCTTGCTTGTGGCAGTGTTGTCTGTCCCTGTGAGTGGAGTCTTACTTTGTATGCAAAACCTACCCAGGAAGATCTTAAATCCCAGGCACAGAGATCAGCATTAGACATATATTTCCAAATTTTCTCCACAACCACAGCAACTGTCTTGAAAATCAGGCCAGGAAGAGGAAATGCGGAAGATCCTTGTCACAATAGCTCCAAAGACTTCTGTGTAACACATTCATTCTCCTTCCCGAAAAACAACATATGGCAGCTGCTGCTAGTGGGTCTCAACCAGTCTTCCAGCTGCAGAGCGAGTGCTTGTGACTGAGCTGTCGGATGCCCAGGTCTGGAGCCCATCGCTCTGCTGTGGCATTTAGAAGGGCCCGGTACATGTGACTGCAGTGCCAGCAGAGCAGAAGCTCCCCAGACTCTTTTTGCTTCTTGTGCTCCTGACATTTTTGTGTTAGTATGTACTGTTACAAGCTCACACAGCTAATGCTCCATAAGGGCCCTATTAAACTGCCGGTGAAATCATTAAGACATTTTGCCCGAGTTTTCACGTGCAAGAGATTGGGTCTGGGACAACAGTTTTGCAGTCGAGAATTTCAGACGTTGCTGGGTTTTTTTGTGTGTCTCTATTTTTGCATGCCTAGTCTCAGACTTCAGGGAAAGTTCATATTCACACAGGATGAGTACTTGAAAGTAGGTTTATGAACAAATTTCCCCTGCTGGTATCCAAGAGGCTTTTAATTCCGGCAATCATTTATGAGTTATAACAAAATCATGGTTACAAGAAATCTTCTCTTGCCCACTGACTGTAGACAGGCAGCTCCAGCACTCCTGTTTCCAAACCCATCTGAATTACGTATTATTATACCATTTGCCAGGAATGTCATTGCTTTTCCCAAACCAAAAGTAATGTTCTTTCGTTACTAAAGTTTAAGACATTAACAAGGAAAAATCAGATGGAAAATCCATGACTTATACATCTCACCAGTCCCCTTGTCCAGGTGAAATCCATGCTGTGTTGTCTTCCATTTATGCTCCAGGTTAGACCAAAACACAGGACACTTTCTAGATTCTCCTTCACAGCCAAGTAAATATGATTTATTTTTCAGATACTACTAGTTTAAGCTAATTAGTACCTCGAGGTGGGGGGAATATTTTAATTTAACTGTTTCATTGAAGTCACAACTAAAAAACAGCACCAGCTTTATGTAAAAAAACGTTTATATAACGGCAAAGGTGAGTCATCGTAAACATCATCAATGTTCTGTTTCACCATTGCTGAAATGTGCTTTTTGCTTCCTCCTTAAGCACTTTCACGTCTCAGCCAACAATGAGAGCCTAAAGGCCTGATTTCTGAAGGTAGCCTTCACATAGAAGAAGGTATCTAGTTAGGATATCAAAGTGTGTAGGCACTTTTAAAATCAAAGGGAATTAACTCCACTATTTATGTACAAGCAGTACTCACAAGTACCCTGCCTAACCCTGGAGGCATCTAAAGTCCTTGGATTGAAGTTTCTTCTGGACAGGCTGTGTACACAGCACAAGCTATTGAGAAAGATACTGGGAGATGTTGGGGCAACACCAGTTTTCCTATGTCTCTGCCCTGCCTGGACTACTGCCAGGTGAGCTCACCAACTTGTCAGTCCATGACTTCACCGTGGTACACCATGGCCCTCGTGGCAATGCTGAGCTGTTCACTCCCTACTTGACTTCTAATCCCTGCTGAGATTTACAAGTTAATTTCTCACCTAGGTTCACAGAATAACAGAATCACAGAATCGGTTTGGTTGGAAGAGACCTCTGGGATCATCGAGTCCAACCTTTGCCCTCACGCCCCCATGTCAACTAGACCATGGCACTAAGTGCCACCTCCAGTCTTTTCTTAAACCCCTCCAGGGATGGGGACCCCACCGCCTCCCTGGGCAGCCCATGCCAATGCCTAACAACCTCTTCTGTGAAGAAATGCCTCCTAATGTCTAACTTGAACTTCCCCTGGTGCAGTTTCAGACCATGCCCTCTTGTCCTGTCACAAGTTGCCCGGGAGAAGAGGCCGACCGCCACCTGGGTACCCCCTCCTGTCAGGTCGTTGTAGAGAGCGATCAGGTCTCCCCTCAGCCTCCTCTTCTCCAGACCAAACCCCCCCAGCTCCCTCAGCCGCTCCCCATCAGACTTGTGCTCCAGACCCTTCACCACCTTCGTTGCCCTTCTCTCGGGACTCGCTCCAGCAGCTAAATGTCCTTCTTGTGGTGAGGGGCTCAAAACTGAACACAGCACTCGAGGTGCGGCCTCACCAGTGCCAAGTACAGGGGGGCGATCCCTGCCCTGGTCCTGCTGGCCACACTGCTCCTGTAGGTTGGTTTGAGGCCTTGCTTTAGCGGTGCTCAGTGTGTATCTAGCATGTCACAAAGTGTACATGAGGAGCACAACATGGCATAGAAGAGGTTTTCCAAGATCAGACATGGCAGCATCTCAGCTGCCTGTCCTTGGCCTTGTCTGCTAGCACAGTGGGACAGTGGGTCTGTGGGTACACTGGGAGACACATGGCTTCCTCTGGCCCTGACGGGTGGTGCGACAGACATTAGTGGGTGTTTTGACTGGATGTCTGAGGGATCTGCCCTGTGCAGAAGACTGGGAGCAAACCTCACCTCTGCCTAATGGGGTTTGAGCTGTGGTAACCGGAAGATTGTCCTCATCAGCTGTTCCCATCCCCTCTTGCTGCCTTTGCCAGTTCTGCTAGAGAAAGACGAATAGCAAGGAGGAGTCAACTTCCTTGTACAGTCACATTATCAGAACAGTGTTGTGTGAGATGGGATCAAAACCCTTCGAGGAGAGGATGGACTTCCACCAAGCTTTCTTACAGTCCAAGGTATGTTTAAGTCACTGAGCTATTGCCCTGTGAAGGTGACCCAAACAAGGTGGACAGAGCAAGCACATGTGCTTTTGTCTATGTCTCACCACTCTTCCACTAGAGGATTCATCTCTGGTAGTTACATGAAAATCCTGGCATTTTTTTCTTATCACTTGTTTGCTCTGGGAAGTGGTTCTTGTCAGCGGTTTCTTGTCCAGCATTGCAAGCTGGACTGTCAGCCCTGATTCCATTCCCATGGCACCTGGTCACAGCTCAGCAAGGGTAATCCTCTGACTCCCTGGGACCCCGTGACCATATCGCCATCACTTCCCACCCTGCCTGCATGCTCTCTCCATCCCCAAACTGGACACCTACCTTTCTGTCCAGTCACTCATGTCCTGCTGTACCAACGACTGCCCACCAAAACCACCCACAGCGGCACTGGAGCATGGATTCTCTCAGCCCATTGCCATGTTCCCCATCTACCACCAGGCACTCATTCCCATCCCTGCCTTGACCCCTCTGTCCCCATGCGGTGGGGTCATGGCAGTGAGGCCACTGCCACCAGTCTCTCCACAGCGCTTCCCACACCGTCACATAGGATGTCCTCCTACAACTTCCGCCTCCCCCACATTGTTCCTGAGTGTCTTTGTTTCCTTCCTCTGTCCCCCAGGTCACTTCTTATTGCCTGTTGAAACTGCCCACTTACTTCTGCTTCTCTTTAACTTCCCTCTTACGAACACTAAGCCCTGCTAAAAATGGTGATGGGGTCCCGGCATCATTCAGGCTTGTGTGTGATTATATCAGATGCTTTGTCACCAGCAAACTGAACCAGAACACAAGAACGCTGCTATACTTGAGCAAAATACTTTATTACTCAAAAACAACTTGATTAATAAATAGTTTGAAAACAAAATAAATTAAAACTGTACATTAAGTTTTACATTTTTAAGGTTTTAAATTGGAATTATCAAAGGCCATCATTTCAGACTCAGATGCACAGTCACAGCTGAATGACATTGTTTATAACCGAGGAATGTGAAAAAACATTTGTGGTACAAATACAGTCCTGCACCATCCCTTAATATTTCTAGCAATTAAACCAGCTGTTGCTCTTCATTATACGGATGAGTTTCTTGTTCTTCATGTCAAGCTCATACTGGTTCGCTCCATGGAAAAAGTAGAAATGTCCTAGAATTGGAAGGACAAAATATTGGCAAATTAATATTTCCTTTTTGTATACCTATTGATATACACTTGCTGTTTTCTTGCATGATTTAAAAAAAAAATCAGAACAAACATTTAATATGTACATATATATATATGTATTTGAAACATGTTTTCTTGGCTTTGATTGGTAGTCTTTTGTTTTGTTTTTAATTGCATTTTAATTTATTTACCATTTTTCTGAAGGGCAGCATCAACTGTGTGGCCAATTCCTTGGAAGTCAGTTGCTATTTTTCTTGGATATCCCCTTTCCATTGATTGGGTATTTTCATTGAAACTAAATAAAGAATATGCATGAAAACAAGAAACAAGCACGTGATCAATGTTGAAACTAGGTGGAATTTGTATTCAATAAGCCTACTCTCAGCTGAAAATCCAGTAACTGCGAGAACCTGTGATCTCATAGAACTGTAAATGTCCTGGCTGTGTGAATTTTTACATCCTTAGTGGCCTATGCAAGGCTGTTTTCAGAACATCGGACTAAATAGTTCACTTCCATTCCCTGAGACTGATAATATGGCTGGATGGTGCTTATACTGAGTAATAAACTTAAATAATTAAAACTGAATATTTTAATTTTACAGCATCCAATCTATGAAGTGACCCCATGAGTGGAATGTGAACTTTTGGTGTAATAACACTC